GCTGAAATTGAAGATATGTTAGAAATTGCATATAGTTCTATAATTTTACAGCTGACTGATAATTTTGTTAGACAAGTTAATAATGCTGAAACTGTTAGGATTTTATGGACTGCATTAGATGACTTGCTCTTAACTAAGATTCTGCCTAACAAAATATATATGTTAGAGAAGCTGTTTAGTTTTAAGATGGACCCTGGAAATGATTTGGAAGGAAACCTAAGTAACCATAGCATAATTGTTAAAAGCCTAGCACACAATGATAAGAAGTTTGAGGATGAAGACTTAGCTATTATATTGCTGATATCTTTACCTGAATCCTACAAAGAGATTAAGAATGCCATAAAATATGGTAGGGGTACATTTACACAAACAATTGTGATAGATGCATTGAAATCCAGAGAGTTAGAGCTTAAGAGAGATAATATGACAAACTCAAGAGAAGAAAGTTTGTTTGTGAAAGGAAGAACTGAAAAGAAAGAATTTAATTTTCATAATAAGAAGCGTAGAGAGATCTAAAATTAGTCTAAAGACAGAAGTAATAAGAAATGTTATAATTGTTGGAAGTTGGGACATTTCAAAAGGGATTGCCTTGAGGCCCTTGACTGGAAAAAGAATCAAAAGGACCTGAATAATAATAATCTGAATAATGTTGCCACTGTATCTGAATTGGATAGTTTACATGTCCTAAATGTGTCTAATGAAGAGCCTAATAAAGATTGGATTTTGGACATAGGGTGTACTTTTCATATGTGCCTGAAAAGTCTTGGTTTTATAATTACAAAGAAATAGAACTTAGAAAAGTTTATATGGTAGACAATAATTCTCAGACTGTGATTGGGATTTGTGACATTGCCATCAAAATGTATGATGGCACCGTTGGCCAATAAATAATATTAGATATGTCCCAAATCTAAAAAGAACTTCAAGAACTCTTGAAAATGAGGGATATACCTTTAAATCTGGTAATAAAGTTCTGAAAATTATGAAGGGGTCTCTAATTGTAATGAAAGGGCCTAAAAGAAA